TCTGTCGCCTTTTCTGTTGGGGCTGTTTCAGCAGCCTGGGCTCAGTGGGTTTGATTAAAAAACATTCCGGTGAGCCCTTTGCCTGCCCAGCCCCCAGCAGGGGTTTTCAGCGTTTCTCCAGTTCCCAAACGGCAGTCCCTGAGAGTCCTATTCTTGTAACGTCCTCCTGTGAGCTGCTCTCCTTCCCCCTCAGGACTGTGCCCTGCAGGGGTGTCTGGGGCTTCAGTGAGCGGGACCCGCCCCTTTCCTGTTGGGGGCGGGGCTCCCGGCTGCAGGAGAGGCCGGCGGGCTCCGCCCCTCCCTGCTCAGCTCTGGTTGGCTGCTCGCACCAGGCCCACCCTTCAGACCATCTACTGTGCAGACCCGAACCCCAGCCTCCGCTGGTCTGTCCGGGAAGTGCCTGCCGCGGCCGCAAAGGTGGGAGCCAGTTCCGAGATCAGAACTCACAAAGGCACAAAGCAACACACGAGCAGAGTCCGCCCCACAAGGTCCAGCCACCAGAGCGCCAAGGCCCCCAGCGGGAAGGGACCCAAAGTCAGCTCCCCGCAGCTCCCTGCACCGCTGATGTCAGCAAAGCTGGGGCCGCTCCACCGCCACCACGGCTGGTCACAGATCCCAGCCTCTCGGCACCTGGAGCTCAGGGTGGGAGGGCTCCTCCCCTCCCCCGCGCCACGCAGACTCAGTGCTTTCTGAGGCTCAACACAATGCCTTATAGGGGGGCAGAGGGTCCCCGTGTGCGGCTGCTCAGTTCCGACCTCTGGTCCCTTACTACTTGGATGCCACACGCTTTGGGACAGCCCTTCCTGTGGTCGGCACCCTGAGCATGAGACGCCAGTCGTGGCTGTGACTAGAAGCTTTGTTTCCTAGGAAGGCGCTGTCCCCTCCTGGTGGACCCACCACTCCCCTGGGTCCCTCTGCCTTCTGGTGGGGCGCTCCTTCCCCTCTCCTGCACTGAGATCCCCACTTTTGGAGGCTGGTCCACACCCCCGAGGGGAGGGAGCTTTGCAGCTTCCAAGGCTCAGAGCCCAGCACGGGCTTCAGGGGGGGCTCCCCCTTCCTATGCCCCCCCTCTCTTACCAGACTCTATGATGTCTCTTCAGTGCTCCCCACTCACACTCCGTCCACTCAGGTATGTTTCTCTTGTTTTTCCAAGCTGCCTACATAGGATTTTAGAAGTAATAGTCTGTGGCTGGGAGCGGGGGCCTCTGCTGCTTCTCACAGGGCCACAGTCTTCCCTCCCCTATAATGTTACTTTTTATAGTTAAAAAGCTTTCTCCCTTGGAAAGACTAAGAGGTCACTGTTTTTAGGGAGCCCAGAGAGCCCAGGCACCAGCCCTGGTCATTCCTGTTTGGGAGGATACCCTCTGTCTCTTCTTAAACAGGAGGTTGGAAAACTACTGCCTTCTGGTTGCAAAAGAAAGCCACAGGGGTTCTATCAACAAACAACATCTGTGGTTACGATTTCTTTCTGGATGAATAGAAAAATGAGAATTTGGGAACCTGTGTGTGTGTGTCTTGCTGCTGTGTGAGTCAAGGAGTTAGGAACGAGGATGCTAGCACTGTTGCATGATTAAGAAAGGCCAGTGGTTTTTGGTAGGAAATGCAAAGCTAGCCCCCGAGGGAAGTCTCAAGAGATTTTGATCCAAATTAATCTGAAGTTTTAGAGTCTGGTGGCAACCTCTGGGATGGATTTGAGCACAGAATGAGATTAAAGATAATTTAATGTGGTCATGTAAAAATAGGTGTGTGGAGGGCAATGGAACAGAGGCTGTGTGGCAGACACCGGTGGCTGTTCTCAAAGGTATCCATTCCTCTCCTTTCTGTAAGAATAGAAACCCCCATTGTGTAGCCAGGCATAAGATCCTCAGAATAAAAGACTATATTTTCCACCCTCTTGAAGCTGGCATGACCTCGAGACAAAGTTCTAGTCATTGAGATGAAAGCAGAATGGTGTATACCATTGCTGAGAAGTGTCTTTAGGGGAAGAGAATATGCCTTCAGCCTCACTTTTCTTCCTTCTTTCTGACTACACGGCGAACTTGGCAGCTAGAGCTGGGACAGCCTGTGGGGAGCCGGCGGGACTCCCCCCGGGGAGGGCCCGCCGGGCGAGGTGCTGCCCCAGGGTGAACACCCGGGGTGGCCCGTATGCCCTAGTGTCACCAAGAGAGGAATCTCTGGGGCATTGACCCGAGTGGTGGGCAGCGGTGCTAGCACTCGCCCTGCTCCCCCCGCTCCCCCTCCTTAAGGACTTGGCTAAGCTTAAGATT